ACCGTTCTAAAGAGGGTCTGACTGAGCGATTTGAGCTGTTTGTCATGAAGAAGGAAATATGCAATGCCTACACCGAGCTGAATGACCCAGTGCGGCAGCGCCAGCTTTTTGAAGAACAAGCCAAGGTAGGAAGGGAGAATGAGCAGAGACGCATTTCAAGGGTGCACTCACTCCCCAGGGAAGGTAGCCTTAGGCCTGGTAGCTGTCGTTGGGAGGATAAAGCTTCACCAGAGGAATCGTTTCAGATAGCAAACTTGACTGGTTTAGCCCTGATATCTCTACTGGAAAAGGGCTTGGACATGACGCTTCTGATGAAAATAAACTTGCCTAAGAAGACACGTCTAGTGAGGAGGTGGCTTGGGAATAAGAGGCAGATAAAGATGACGACAGCTCCCCACTCTGCCTCACTGGCACTGCTGCAGAAGGGCGGCCTTGGGTCTGGGAGAAAGATGTGGGAACCATCAGTCTCTGAAAGTCAGTCTCAGGCAGTGCAGGCTTTTTCACTTCAGAGTGATTTCCGTGTATTGTGAGGTAGATTTCATCAATCCTGACGTCCAAGTCTTTGAAAGGAACGACTATCCTGGAGTTAGTGGGAACCCATTCCAGCAACTGCCGAGCATTCAGTCTCCCCGAGAGGAGGGGTGATCCTCAGGAGTGTGGTCACAGACATGAAAGACAGTGCTACCTGGAGTAACGGTGCCGTTTGATTCTCTGCTAGGCCAAGGCCGCTGGTGACGATGAAGCCATGTTCATAGATGAAAACTTCTGCACTGCCCTGGAGTACGGGCTGCCCCCCACAGCTGGCTGGGGCATGGGCATCGACCGCGTCACCATGTTTCTCACAGACTCCAATAACATAAAGGTACAGCACCCCTCCACACACACCCCTCCACACACACAGCCCTGCTGTTGAGGGAGGGGGGCGTGGAGAAGGGGAAGGGACTGAGCAGGAGATACCTCAGGCACAGAAGGGTAGCCCCATAGGGAGGGTCAGTGCCTCTGACCTGATGGGGCCTAGGGTTTTTTCTGATGCAAAAGGAGTACTAATTGCAGTTCTTAGAGGACCCAAGGGGTATGCTAAACCCTCCACAGCTTTGTCTGTGGTGAGTTAATCAGGTTTTAAGAGAGCCTTTGTATTCATTTCTGACATGGTCCCCAAGGCAGTGCATACATTCCTTCTTTCCCTCCACTAACACTAAAAGGAACAGTGAGATAAAAGGAAACACCTGTCTTTTCAGCTGGGGTATACAGATCTCTGGGTTTTTGTTAACACTAACCAAGGGCAAAGAGGCTGGGTAGCTGTGAAAAGATGATTCTAGCTTCAAGGTGCCTTTTTTCAATCATGTATAGGAAGTACTTCTGTTTCCTGCCATGAAACCCGAAGACAAGAAGGAAAACATAGCAACCAGCGATTCATCTGAAAGTGCCGCTGTGGGCACGTCTGTCTAGAAAATCTCAATTGAAGTTGAAAAACTCAGGCACCTTGGCATTTCTGTGGACGCGCAAGGACTACAAGGGAATTCTTGCTCTCCCTTTGCTGTGGTTGTTTAGTTCAGTTCACCCACCAGAAAAAAAGAGGAATAAAGGATTCCTTTTTATGCCTTGTTACCAAATAAATCAACAGTCTTGTCTCGTCACTCTTCACTTTACCTTTGAATGTCAGGCTGCTGGCCTGGCGGATATTTTGGACTGCACACTATTCATTCAACAATTTAAATTAATGTCTGCTCTGCATTGGGCACTGTTAAAAGGGATGAGGGGTGTGTAGACTAACAAATAACAAGGATGTACGTATTTTTGATAGTAATGGTGTCTACAAAGAAGAAAACTAACATAGGGTTAAGGAAACAGGTGCTATTTTGGGAAGAGCTGTATGGGAGAAGTGTTAGGTGATGGGATAGAGCCTGGCTTGTGGGTGACATTTAAATGAAGATCTGAGGATTTTTTTTTTTTTAAAGATTTATTTATTCATATATTTATTCATAGAACTGGGGTACAGACCAGAGATGCGGAGAGTGAGAGGCTTCACCAGAGACAGAGTGGGGAGCAGAACAGGCAGATCTATGAAGTACACTGCTGAGGGTAGCAGCAGGCTGGCCAGGAGAGGTCCGCCGCGCCGTGTGGTCACCTCCGGGGCAGGCGGGAATTGAACTCATGCGGAAGTGGCTTCAGCCTCTCAGTGCTGCGCCCCAATCCGCTGCGCCACCAGGGAGCGCCCAACCTGAGGAATTTTTAAGGAGCAGTGACGGATCTGGTATGGGCAGAAGTGATTGGGGGCCAAGTCACGAAAGCCTCTGTAGGCATGCAGGCCAATGTGTATTTTACTGGATGATGACAGGAAACCATGGGCAGCTTTTTAGCAGTGATTTTTTTTTTTTT